TATATATTTTTGTTTATTTTTAAAGTTTTAATTACTTAGAAATTTGATATCGAAATTTACCTTCACGTGGTTAGTATCAGCTATTGTTGCTTGGTAGTCTGAATAATGTTGCAGTTCAATATTAGCTTGCATATTATAAACAAAATTCGTGCGTTATGTATTGCTTACATTGATAACCCGTGTTTTTATGCAGTAACATATGAGTCTGTGACTATAATACTGCGAGATAGTTTTGAGAGGTGAATAAGTGAGGTATGTACGTTGTTGAAACGCCGATTTTTGGCCAGAATGAAAAATTGAGTTTCGAATGTAGACGTCAAGTGTCCAAAACGATACTCCTTAGTAAAATAAACAACCTGTGGCTAAGGTTGGGAGGCTAATATTGAAAGTGATCCGTATTCATCTGACATGTTTAGTACTTTTTTCTACGTCACTGAAAGTCCTTTAAATATTATTTTTTTCTTTTTTCGCATACGATATTTTTTTTTAGAGAAAAAATAACCTTATTATACTTACTTTTAAGTACGAGTGGTTGGAGTGTTTTGGTTCAAGACAACATCTAGTCAAGATGAATGAAAGCCTCTGATTCAAAAGATAACGGCATGTCCATGAACCACCCTTCATTAATTAAAACCTGTCTGATCAGCCTCGATTTCCACTAAATGTGAGTGACATGTGTATCATACAAGGAGGTTAGGAGCACGCACTGTTCATGCAAACCTAGTCAGGACCTAGTCAAAGCACACTACAGGTGCACCAGAACGTGTCGTCTCGAGTGCATTTTTATACATGTTTATCTCAATAACTTAAACTGTGAGACACGGCTTTATAAAAACGAGACAAAATGCACTTTTTATAGAAATAGTTTTTGCCTCAAAAATGCGGAGTAGCTCTTCTTAAGTAACCAGCCGTTTCTGGCACTAGAGGTCGCTCGTATAATATAATTATTCAATTTTCCGGTTAGTTGTTTGGTATTTGGGTCGTATTACAGAGCCTATGACATAGTATTCGACTATGTAACCACAAAATACCTAGCATGTCTATTAATATCGGGCTGAGTATCAGATCGGAGAAGGGGACTCTAAATAAAGATTAAATGCCATGCAAAATCCGGGGTTTTCATGCAAGTTTTTATCGTTTCATGTTTTCAGGATATTTCATGTTTTCATGAAATATGAGGCATACCTTTATTTTTCAATCAATTCATTACCGACCTTTTTGTACACGTTTAAATAAGCTGCCACGTGTTACGACAGGTGTAACAGGACCCTTGCTGCATCGTCTCTTTGTAAAGTTGAAAATCAATGTTTCGTTGACGCTATTTCGATTCCAATAGTCAATGTTACGTATGCGCTTGTATCACAAAGTGTATGATTCCCAGCCATGGCAAAGACCCTTTAGGGGTCATAAACAAACTTACAAAGACGCGCATATTTACACAAACATCTCATGCACGTGCAATGTTTGACCAACGGTGCCTAACTAAATTATCACATTGACGCAATACCCATAAACCATCGACACCCTAAAACGCCCCTATGTAATGTTTACACTGTCCAAAACGTCATAAGGAATCACCCTTCTGCAATGTTGACAAACAAATAGAGGCATAACCAATTCAGCCATGAGCGCGCATTATATGGCCAAATTTCTTTTGAAGAGTCAATATTGACCATTCAACTGACCAAGGTCTGGTCAGGGCTCCCCGACTTTATATTTACAATGTCCATCAGTAGATTTATTGGATATGTTTAACAGAGTGGCCAATTTCGATAACGTTAATTTGTCTCGTGCAAAGTATGAGGTTTACCTCGGCTCCTTATCGTACGGTCATACAGATAGCACGAATACTCTTTTGATACTACGGTTGTAAATTGCCTCACACTCTTATTCATTTTTTCCCTTCAAAAACCTCTCCAATTCCTTTTTTGTTTTGTTTTTAATCTCCCTTATCTGACATCTCTTCAAAAAAACTCTTGTTAGACGTGTTTTTATTTTTTATATCAGTGCAAGTCGCCAATAGTTTATTCCTATGATTGGCCAAACATAGACATCAGATTATTGTCGCAAGTCTTTCGACTTGGGCCGAAAGGAATTGAACGCAGGNGGGGGGGACAAATAACTCCTTAAATCCATATTTCAATGTGTTAGAAGATTTTTTTCGCGATAAAACCACACTGTTATAACACAGTTATCTCACTGACCCAGTTACAATGTGTAACTCAGAGAACCAGGCAAGGTTACTGTTAATTTAAAAAGGAAATAATTTAAATATTTTTCTGCATGAAAGTACAATTCATCACCACGCGTGTGCGTTATAACGTCATGTTAAAATAATACGGTATATAAAAGGAAATTCCATACAAGTGTCTTCAAATTATACAATCTATATCTGTCCATTTAGCCGTAGCGACGGTTTGCCATCCTGCCACCGCAGCTAAATGACATGTTTTGGGCGAAATAATCAACACTTTACATATAGATAGGAAACTGCAGTGAGTAATTATAGACATTATAAAGATCCGTTATCTAGCCACACACTTATACAGTACAGCTGATGCGTTTACTGTAACTTATGCTTGTAGACACTATGGAAATACCTGTCAAGTGCCGGAAGAAGAGACGTGACACAATATTTCTTTTAGTTGATCCATTTTATGAATTTATGAATATATTCATATACACATTTTTTCTTTTTATATGTTTTTCATTTTGACATCTGGTTATTTTTTCATTAAAAAACCTATTTGCATGCCCTTAATTATGACTGGAATCAGGTAAAACTTCGAAAATGTACCTTCAAGCTCCGTAGCATCCAAATACTGTAGGCAATATTATTTTCGCGATAATATTATTCTGCATTTTATCTGACGCGTTCAATTCAGTATTAAAGTAAGGGTTCTGAAAACGAAATTCAAGTCATCTACTTTTCAAACATGTCTTTTAAATGTTAAGGAATGAAATCATGTTCGTGAAGTAAATCATCTTGACTGAATCTCTTTATAACGGTATCTACAACACGTCGCCCTGACGAAAGGTGATGTGAATTACTAACACGTCTTTCATAATGCTAGATCATACCCCTGACGAAATATTTACACCACGGTAAAAAAAAACATGCAATTTCTTATGTTATATATTTTATATGTCTACATACAAGGGCTTCAACGATATATCGTGCGACGATACATCGCGATATTTTGAATATCGTATGATACACAATATGTTTACGGAGGTTACTTTTCACCTATGATATTTTCAGGAGTTTGTCGTTTCTGAATTTAGTCTACTCATATCGGTTTCAACATGGCGAGTGACAGCTCCAGCTCGGCATGCACGTCGAAAGGCGTGTATTGTGTGAAACTTCAAAGTCTTTTTCCAGTTGTAATATTGCCATTACAAATTTACAACACATCTTTCGCTTTTCTTCTACTGTTACTATATGTATCGTGATACGTATCGTATCGTGACCACAGTATCGTGATACGTATCGTATCGTGACCACAGTATCGAGATACGTATCGTATCGTCATGTTCATATATCTTTGCAACCCTAATAAATACATGTACGTATAACAAATCGCCTTTACGAAAGGATACTTGAGTTATTAAACGCCCTGTCTTTTATAACGCTGAATTCATATACGTATGGTTGCCCTGACTATCACGTTAAATACAAAATATCGTCCTGACGACATTAATAAACAGGTCTTTTTTAACGCTAAAGTCATGTACAATGTACGTATAAGTCTGCTCTGGCAAAATGCAAAATAAACATATACATATATGATGTATCTATATTGCATATAACGCTAAATACTCAATGTTGCCTTGACGAAGGGTGATGCAATTTTTAAACTTATCGCCCTGTCTTTTATAATGCTTAATCCATATACAATGTACGTACATGATAGTACGTCGCCTGGCAAAATCTCAGTATAACGCAACATACAAATGTACGAAATGTCGCCCTGACGAAAGTCTATAGATGTGATATATGGAAACAAAGTTGCCTTGACGAACCAGCTATCTAACGTTAAGTACAAAATGTCGCCCTGACAAAAGGTGATGCAATTGATGAAAGACCTTATTTTTATAACGCTAAATTCATATTTGTATAGTAAGTCGCACTGACGAAGTCTTTCTCTTACACTAAATATGAAATGACTCTTTGACGAAAATTCATGCAGAACGTTATACGCATTTACAAGTGTTTGTCATCTTATAGCGATGAACAAATTTTTCATTATGCTTTGAATCATTCATGTGAAAACAACCAAAAATGACAGGTAAGGTATATTCATTACCTGTGAAATCTGACACACATTTAGGTAAGTAAATTGAGAAATCATTACTGTATGACAGGTGAGAGTAACGTCTATATCACAGATTGCGGAGATACGTTATTCATGCATGGAGAGCTTGTAGTTAGGTATACATCGCATGTATTCGAAGCCGAAAGGTACAGTATGTATGTATATACACCAAAATAATTCAATGACTACCACGAAAAATATTGGTATTTTAAGTGATTCTGCTTCAGGCTAAGTATTTTTTATCTTAAAATTGATCAATATCTGTCGTTTTAGCTATGGGTGAAATATTAAAGCATATATACCACTTTTAAAATGTTACGTATTCATCACCGAAATTTCTGAAGAGTTTTAAAATATTTCTGGAAAAAAAGTAGAAATATCTCTTTACAGTGTAAATATTGGATGCTAAATATATATTCTTTAAAACAATTACGTGTCTTTCAAATGAACGAAATAATAAATACAGTACTAGATTCATCGGTTTTTCTTCGGGTACCCCGGTTTCCTCCCACATTAAGAACCCCTACTCCCACCAAACGCCCCCATCCCCCGCGCGACATCCAGCCCAACAAGACTGACTTATATAAGTTGAAATACCTTGTTTCACATTTTTTGTTGAATAAATAATGTTAACATTTTTTATCTTCCAGGTTCCTTTCTGAAGGTAATAAACGAAACACTCACCTGCACAAGGGTTCCTATAGACGGACTCCGAGACAGTCCGACTGATCCCTAAAACTACGATCTGTAGGAGGGCCCAGAGGCCTGATATATCCATCGTTTCACTTTTCCGGACAATTCATTGCATCTCTCGTTGATCTTTTTACTTTACTTTGTCACGTGATCACTCATGCGTTGCATGTTTCAAGTGAGACCTAACCAGAGAAGTTATTTTCTGTTTTGTATGATTTCACCAAGTCACGTTTTACTGTCTGTTATATTGAACATTACGAAACTTAATGCTAAAATGCACTTCATATAGAAACCATAACTCGCAGATCAAAAATTAGTGGAAACAAGCGATATGTACTCCTCTCCGGTATCATCATCATTGTCGTCCCACCGTCATCTTCGATGATTCATCTATTGTTTTAGAGATGAAAGCCTTGATGAATAACCAGTAATTGTGCATTAAATTCCTTGTCTGTATATTAACGATGTAAACGACCTCATAGTTCCTTCCTTTTTCTAGAATTGATGTATCAGCGAAAAGACGACCTTTCTCTAAGTTTGATGAGTCGTGTAAATCATTAATATGAGTATAGATATCTAGTCTATCCCGACAGCCACTTCACTGCATCAGGCCGGCGATACCATTAACTTGACGTATCATCAAGTTTCACCTATATAATACCGCAGTATACATCTAGAGTAAATACTATCTCCGGGACACGTACGTATGGCCACCGTCGACAAGGGTCTTTAAACGGGAGGCCACGGTATCAAAACCTGGGTAGCTTTACTCCAAATATCGGAGTACTGGGTAACCAGTACTTATACGATACTCATAATTTGATACTTATTATATTAAATGCAGTTATCAATATATTATATTTGATACTCAATGTCCCCTAAATCATACTCGTTATCACATAAGACGGAAGTAAAATTCGCCTAATACATCCTGTACTTACTATCATAAACCATCAACGCAATATTATCTAGTACCAAATTTACGTTTAATATATACTATATATATACTTATTATATTATCTACTTATTGAATATCTTAATTCTGTAATTAATATTCAGGAAATGGCATTTTTCCTTTGCTAAATGTCCGAATTGCTAATACGTCAAATCCTGAAGTTCACAATATCCTGACCTATGTATTCAATATCCTTAAGAAATTAATATCCTTTAGTATCATGTAATACACATATTCTCTAGTACTCAGTGTGCTTAGGATGTATTTAAATACCCCCAAGTGTACAATATCTACATGTCCTCGATACGGTACTCCGTAGTCTCCGCAATGTACGTACTCAATATTCCGGATACGGTACTCAATATTATTCACGATATTCTATGTAATTCTCTATGAAACAAATCCTATTATAAAGGCATTCGACAGAAATGTCTACTCGACCATACAGACTGATCAAGTTCCGGTTTGTCCCGAGTCTTTTCATAACAAGAAACTTCCCTATCTGTTTTTGGTGACACTAAACGTTTGCTCTTCAGACTTCACTACTTGAAGTTAACAAATTCTCTCGTGTTTTAAGCTAACGACAAAGTCACTTAAGATGAAAATAATGAAGATTGTCTGAGTATCAAAGAGTTCTCTTATACTGCACAAATGTCCATATAAGGAAAACTGTTGCCGTGGTCTATCATCATTTGTACCGAAATGTAAGTCCGAAATCGATTGTCGTGGGTGGAAACGTGCTGTTCATCAGCAGACTCCGGTTAAGAACGTCGCTTAGCTAGGTCCTGTATATCTCTGACCGAAGCGATGCACTGCTCTGTCAATTGGGTCTCGCGAACGTACCTCAAGTCTATCGGTTGATTTAACACATTTTATGTAAAACACGGGAGATCTGCTTCTATGATAGGACACCGATCGCGATAGATCCTTTAAAGGTTTCGTGTGAGTGAACAAAACCCCAAGTCTCTTTGAAAGGGGGCGGGGCGTCCGATGGAATCTCGCGAACTCTGAGATCACGTTTCATTGCGGGTTTTCTCCGCGAGATTTTAAGTGTTTCAAATGAACTTTAGCTTCTAATTAACATTTCTGTTTTGTTGCGGTTAAAAGAGAAAATATAATCGGCTAAATGATCAAGCTGAATTCGGCAACAGTTAACTTCTGAACGCATTGGCAATCAACAGTTGTTTGTCAAGAATCTTTTTTGATTCCTAAAGGCAGGGTCTTTAAGCTGTCCGAGATAACGCCGGGCCGCCCATGTCGGGACTAACAGCTAGAAACGCATTAGGTCCTAATTTCTCCTAAATTTCGCCGAAGCGTGATTCGTACCGATGGTTTGGATGCGCATGAAGACAACCTAATTTTCACCTTTTTTCTTTTTAAGTCCTGACCTGCTTAAAGGAATTTACGGAGTGCAAATAGAACTAGTAAGTAAGTGATGGCCACACTTAAGAATACACATCAGCCGTATCTAGTTCCATTAGCTTAACAACCCCGGCCGGTCGTGATGAGGTCTTTAGCATTTGAACCCACTGTGTCGGTTGACGCAGGTTCGACTCCCGGCATCGTAGGCAACTTGTACATTTAAACAGAGGTTTGTAATAAATTAATGGATTACTGCACATTTCTAGGGGCAGCACATCATATTTTTACTTGTACACCTCCTTGAGACCGTTATATGTTAACCATACGGTACGTTTTGGTGTTCAAAATGATCACTATTCAATAAATCTCGCGAATCAACCAATTGTTTTTATAATTGATTTACTATTAGGTTTATATATAATGTCGCAGATTGCACTAACGAATTACGTATCTATTTCACTAGGGCAATATTTTTTCTGAAATAGATCCATCCGCACTATAAACAAGAACAATATCTGTTGTCAGGGGAACACACGTGCGGTGTTGCTTTCGCATACCAACTTTTTGTTTTTTTCTACATGCATATACAAACATATTCATTTTCTACAAAATATTTCTAATCCCTATGCGTATATTTTGAACTAAACAACAATTTTGTAACGTCAGCATTTTAGTCTCTTTTGCGTATACGTCATTTACACACTATGAAGATAAATATCTTGGTACAAATGTATTTTATGTTTAATAAAGATTTGTATGACTTTTGCTATTTTACTTAAAACTCTCACTGTAGGAATACTATTTTGTATGTGCTGTAAAGCACCCAAGAGTAATTTTGCAAATTAAATAAGGCGCTTTGAAATATTATATATTTAAATTATTTAATTATTATATAAAAATTAATTATTTATGACGTCGAGGAAGGAATGACGAAGCCACATTTGTGTAAATAAGGCACTTTAATGTTTTGAGTCTACTGATGTTTCGAGGATTCATCAAATTGATCAGTTTATAATAACTGAAAAGTTCAAGTCAAAGAGGAGAACTAGTTAATGGAGTGAAACACCATCTTGTTATGTCACCGTATGACATACATGTTAGAAATATTGTAGCCCGAAAACCTACATGTTAGAAATAGTGTAGCCCGAAAACCGACATGTTAGAAATATTGTAGCCCGAAAACCTACATGTTAGAAATAGTGTAGCCCGAAAACCTACATGTTAGAAATATTGTAGTCCGAAAACCGACATGTTAGAAATATTGTAGCCCGAAAACCTACATGTTAGAAATAGTGTAGCCCGAAAACCTACATGTTAGAAATATTGTAGTCCGAAAACCTGGCTGTATCGCTATGGTTAGATTTAACAGGTGTGCTATGATGTAGCTTTAATTTTACACACAAATATTTCTTACATTTGATCTTTGAAGATTATTGCTACATTCCTTCAATTTTCAGTTTTCTCTAAGGTGGTATTTTAACTCTGACGTTCATTAAAGGTTATCAAGAGGTAATATTTATGAGTTGAATGCTTAACGGGCAAGCGTCATACACATATGTTATATACATAAAAACAGTTTTATTGTATACTGTATCTCGATAGTACTAATTTAATATATAGGATGCAATAGTATACTATTGTTTTGTAGCTATATATATTTTCATTCCGTATTGATCGGTAACTAGCTCACGAATAATGACAAACCTTCGTGTGCAGACGTGTTTTGTCGTTTTACTGGAGTTGCGTTCATTGTGGTTTGAAAATATACACACTTGCCCTTTAAGAACATAATGTACTGAGAATTAAATTTTATCATGAACTGAATGAATACATCCCCCTAACATAGAATCTACTTCTTTTTGGAGATATAACAAAATTATATTCATGCATACTCAGCAGTTTATACATGACTGGAACAGATTGTAATACCCATCACCCCTCAAAATCGACATCTTTATTAATACATGTATATCTTACTAATACTAATAGATTGACAACACGAGTTGCAACAAACAAATATACGTATATATAAATATAATGAAGCCGTGTGTTTGGTCTTTCTCTGTGCGGACGGACTAGTTGAAACGAAAATACCAGCAAGAGCGGAGTGAACAGGAGGAAGATAAAAAGCAGGGGATGTGATGACCATTTGATCAGAAGAAAGTTGTGAACAGCGAAAAGTATAACTACTTCCGTTCGCATGGAGAAAGAACAACCACGTGGTCTGATACATATTTTCTTTAATTTACTGTTTTGTTGCAGTACTTATCCAGTAATCTTAAAAGATCGGACTATCTAACCCCCTCTTCCCTCTCTCCTTCCACTCTCACCCATCTATCTCTCACTCTTCCTTTATCTACATGTGCATGTTTATATTTGTGCGCATGCGTGTGGCTGGGTGTGTGAATGTGTGGGTGTATGTATGTCAACTTATTAATTAATTTATCATACATAGCTTATTGTCGTAGTTCTGCCATCATGAAATTTAAAAAAAAAATGTACAGGGAAAGGGCTTGATATAAGTTGTACAACATGTGCCCAGTTTCATTGCTTTGTAAAAAAGGCAATAACATATATTTAAATAAAAAAAATACCGTTCTTTTGTCCAGATTCAGTTTGGAACATTTCACTTAAGTGTAATTCTTGTAGAAATTGGATTTATTCGAAGTTAATTTGCGATAATGAGCTCTGCTCAGCCACATCTGTCTACCAAAATTGTCCAGGAATACTCGATTATCATGAAGACATAGACGTATAAAGTGAAGATCTGCAATTGTTTTTCTTTACTTAACAGCTTTGTACGTTGCATATTGACACAGGTTTCTTCCGTGGATTTGAATATGCCCGTGTCTGTAAGCACTATCCGTTCTTTTGCCTCTCACCCCTACCCGACCCGCCTCCCATATCCCATCTTGAAAACATAAATGGCCAAACTGATTTGCTGTCCGCTTTGCAAATGCTTCGGATCTCTTATCTAAGTCGTTGCGCAGAAACGTAACCCTACACAATCAAACAATATGTCTTTCTTCTCTTACCTACTCATCAATTTCGGTGGACTCTTCCTCGGAACATTCTGAGAACAGAACTGGACGGGATGTCATTTAACCCGTTACATGCACAAGGTTGAAAAAATGTAACTACCACAATAAACCCAAGCACTCCTGATATTCTTTAATAATAAAAAAATCCAGTGCAATAACCACCTGCCTGTAAATGTCACTTTGAGTAGTTTGATTAATGAATACAGTTCTCTAAAAGTGAAAATTCCTGCCAGGATAATTAATTGATTGAAAAACGAAAGGTTTTTTTTTTTTTTTATATATCTTAGTTTGTATATGTTTTCTATATCAACATTAGTTGTTATTCCGCTTGAACGATATTGTGCGTACATGTAATGTTCTAATTGATATTTATATAGGTAAAATAACGAAAAACAGTAATCAATCGTCATTCAATATACAATCTATGACGTCACACAATGTATTATTATGTGTTCTATAACCTGATGGTAACTAATACA